TAACGGGGCTTCTCCCCCCTCCCCTCGCTCGCAGGAACGCGCTGATGTTCAATAACGAACTCATGGCTGACGTTCACATCATCGTGGGCCCGCCGGGTGCATCCAAGAAAGTTCCTGCCCATAAGGTTTGTGCAGATAATTTTTGGCTTTTTAATACTGCTGTGTGTATCGCCTTCTCCCCCTGCCTTACAACGAGTTCCACTTTTTTTTTTCCCAATTACGGCTCTCATCTAATCTCAGAAGTAATTCACATACGCTGCAATTAAAGGGAACAGTCTAAGGCAGTCTTCTGCCTCCACTGTAGCTTTTAACTTTCCGTAAGTGTAGCTGTTATCGAAAGCCAGCACGCTCAGCTATTACTGATACATATTACTGAGGCTTCTCTCTCTTTATTTTCCAGTATGTTTTGGCCGTTGGTAGCTCTGTCTTCTATGCTATGTTTTACGGTGATCTCGCAGAGGTCAAATCTGAAATCCATATACCAGATGTGGAACCTGCAGCCTTTCTAATCCTATTAAAGTAAGTGGCCACTACAAGTCTACTAATTATGTGGAGAGAATCAAAGTAGCTTATAAAATATACATCTCCTAATTGGCATTGTGCAATACGCACTTATTACTGTTTACTTAATGTGCTGACAAATACTGAACGTCAGATTTGCTGCCAGCAAAGATCACTATAGATCGGTCTTTTGTGGCCTATATATTTTTTTCCTAAGAAACTATTATTTTTTTTTCCTATCTAGATATATGTATAGTGATGAAATAGACCTGGAAGCTGACACGGTTCTGGCTACGCTGTATGCTGCCAAGAAGTACATCGTGCCGGCCCTAGCAAAGGCCTGCGTCAATTTTCTGGAGACCAGTTTAGAAGCGAAGAACGCTTGTGTCCTGCTGTCTCAGAGCAGGCTCTTTGAGGAGCCAGAGCTGACCCAGCGCTGCTGGGAAGTGATTGATGCTCAAGCAGAAATGGCACTGAAGTCAGAGGGCTTCTGTGAGATAGATCAACAAACACTAGAGATCATTGTAACCCGGGAGGCGCTCAACACCAAGGAAGTGGTAGTTTTCGAGGCTGTTCTCAACTGGGCAGAGGCTGAATGCAAAAGACAAGGGCTGCCGGTTACGCCACGCAACAAGAGGAATGTATTGGGGAAAGCTTTGTACTTGGTGCGGATTCCGACCATGACTTTGGAAGAGTTTGCCAATGGAGCTGCCCAGTCCGACATCCTCACCCTTGAGGAAACTCACAACATATTCCTCTGGTACACAGCCGCAAATAAACCCAAACTAGAGTTTCCGCTGACAAAAAGAAAAGGACTTGTACCTCAGCGATGCCATCGGTTTCAGTCGTCTGCATATCGCAGCAATCAGTGGAGGTACCGAGGGCGATGTGACAGTATTCAGTTTGCCGTAGACAAACGGATATTTATAGCAGGACTGGGATTGTATGGCTCAAGCTGTGGCAAAGCTGAATACAGCGTCAAAATCGAACTGAAGCGCTTAGGAGTTGTCCTTGCTCAAAATCTGACAAAGTTTACCTCTGACGGCTCCAGTAACACTTTCTCTGTGTGGTTTGAACACCCTGTGCAGGTTGAGCAAGACACGTTTTACAATGTAAGTGCTATTCTTGATGGTAACGAACTCAGTTACTTCGGGCAAGAGGGAATGACTGAAGTCCAGTGTGGGAAAGTGACATTCCAGTTCCAATGCTCCTCGGACAGTACTAATGGAACCGGAGTACAAGGAGGACAAATACCTGAGCTCATTTTCTATGCATGATGCATTTCACCTTGATTGTATTCCAATACTGCAACCATGCACATTAAGGGATTTTTCAATTTTACTACGAACTCTGCAGCAGTATGGAATGTTATGCTACTTACCTATCTGCTACATCAGGCTATACAAATAAGTGAAGGAATGCTCTTGAATTTAATCTTATTTTATTTATTCATAAGCTATTTGACTTAATTATTAAGACTGCAACAAGCAGAAAAATGTTAAATTTCGCACGTACTGTGCATTTATTTTGTATATAGATAACTAACTTGCAGACTGCAGCTGACTTAAACAGAATGTTCTAAACTAGAGCAGTTTACAAATCTGTGAAATATAAAACATTTTTACTTGCCCTAAATCCTGTGTACTTGATCATTGCTGATCTTATGGCTTGCGTCTGTTAATTCCTCTACAGTAGTTAACGGGGGTGATGATACTGTAGTCTGTCCCCTGTGTGCATATACACAGGGCATTAGCTATCGCTGCAAATGTAACTGAGACTATCTATCAGCAGCCTTTATTTTCCTTCACAAAAAAGGGGAGCTGACATCTGTGGAAGCTCAGGGTTTTTTGTGTAATCAAAGTTGATAAAAATCATCCTGTGGTTATATTTGAAAGGCTCTAATGCCCATTCACACACATCGTCTTCGTTAACCTCCACAGCCTGCCCTGCAAACAGCAACACTGACACTTGCACCTGTCAAACTGCACCCCCTTGAATGGCCCGAGTCAAGACATACACATGAAGCTTAATGCAGCGACAGGCTTTATCACAGATTGAGCCCAGAGCTGCAATACTGGCAGCCACTATCTAAATATACATCCCATCCTCACATTTAGGAGCAGACATCAGAAAAATACTTGCAATATGGTCTTTAAGTTCATTCAAAATTAGTAATTAGAAGTAAGCCACCTTAAACTAAAGCTGCTAGATCTTTCCTACCCCTCTGTTTTTTCTAAAAACATAGTCCCAGCCACTATCAGCAGTCATTTTATAGCTAGTACCCTTAACTTTTCTCAGAGAGTGATAAAAGTAGGTTTTTTCTCAATGTCTCAAGGTCATTACAGATGAGTCAATTAGAAATACTTACTGTTCTTTATAAATCTCTCTTCTCATAATGACCTTGGAAAGAATACTCAAACAGCAGTCTAAACCAGTATGTTTTTCCATGTATAACAGGTACCTCTACATTTAATTTAGAAGGGTTTTCTGTTTGCTTTTTCCTAAGCTGCATTAATTTTCACCTTGAAAGTAAGCTGCAGTACAAATTCTGCCTGTTCTTTCTTAAAAAAACAGAAGTAATGAAAAATAAGAAGGCAACTGAATCAGTAAAAAGAAGAACTTTTTACCAGACATCAAGCTATGCTAACGAGGCCAGCACACCGCGATGGCTGATAGCTGTGCACTGCCACATACTATCTGGATGCTGTCACGACAGTGCTCAGTATGTGAGCTCCTGGTTCTCTTGCTGCAAAGGCAGGCAGTTACGTGCCCAGCTGAGTGCATCTGAAGGGGAGCGCGCGTGTGTTGTTCTTGAACACAAAAGGCATCTGATTCTCTCAGTACAGATGAAGGAGAGTGGGAGTGAGAGTGGGTAAAGATACAAGAAGAAAATTCCTGCACAGAGGTGGGTAACAGTCACAAGACCTCTCTATAAACGCACTCTCTTAACTGGAATTGGCATGAATTCCCTTGCCTTAAAGGCTACAGCCTAGACAACAGCTTTTTTACCCTTTAACAGGTTAAAACGCACCTTCCTATCACTGTGTTACAATTTCAGCGATGACTTACTAACTAAAAAGTTATTCGCATGCTTGGAAAAAGTTGCTCCTCATTTTCCATCAAGCCACTTGTATTTCAAGCACTGAACGCCTCAGCTACAGGTGATGGACAGATAGTAAATTTGGCAAGTATTTATCAAACGTTGCATCTCTCTGGAATTGCAGTGTGACAGGCCTGTGCAAGCTTGTAGACGCACACAAATTTATTATGCATCAGCCCATTGTCTTAGTATAGCTCAAACTACTCTCAGAAAAAGCAACAAAATTATTTGTAAAAGAAAATAGCATCTAGCTCCCAAAAAAGTCTTACATAAAGGAAAACAGGCTCTAGTGGTCAGCATTGCTGTTCGGCCTGGATTGATTCCAGCTTCATTTTTAAGTTACCACTTTGGTATTTAGCACACAATACTATGGATATATACACACATACATATATATTCTTTTAAAGTAACCATGCAGAAAATATACCCAAATACTCAAAAGTCAACTCAAAAAAAAATACCTATGGCTGGAGCATTTATGCAGAGTTCTCTGGCCAACAGAAGGAAAGTTTTTCCCAGCACATACACATTCACCTATTAAAAGAAAAAAAATCATTATTTAAATCTTAAACCACAAATGTTTTTAATAGAACATTTATGCAGAAAGGAAAAAAAACCCCACACTTTTGAAATCTTAAAACAACCTGCTTTAAAAATTTAACTGACGTAATACAAGCGGTATTCATAGGTACAGAATAATACTTGGTGCTTGTCAAAAGCTGCACAAATTAGTATTGTAAACAAAAGCACAAGTTTATATTGAAAAAATTACAAAAAGTTATTCATCACACTCTTCAGTGGGCTCAGTGTTGCTCTGTAGTACTTGGCAATTTTTCAGTTGTCACCTAACATCTTAAAGCATTAAGTAGACTTTAATATCAGTATATATAAAGTGTTACTTATCTTGTAACATAGTAAAACCTGAGCAAATACTCACAAGTTAGTGCAAATTTCAGCTCTGTATGATCACGTGAAGTGGGATAATTAAGTATTGCACAAGCACACACCAAACTTTTCCACCAAAGCAAGGAGTGGTGCACATGCCCCAAGGGTTATTTGTCGTTTCTTACTGTTTGGACATTGCCCCAGATCACCCTACTTCAAAAAAAGATAAATCAATTCCGAAAAACCCTAAACCACGCCAAACCTGCTAAGGAGCCAGGGACAGAGCCCTGCTCCCCTCCCCTCCTTCACTGCTGCACTCGGGAGGATGTAAACTGAGGGGAGGAGTTACTCTTCATACTCTGATTTGCAATTTATAGCATAGGCAACTACATTTGTATTTTAAAAGTCTGAGGAAGTTTTCTTTCACTATCTTAAGATGTGTTTTTGTGGTCAGCAAGAAAGGCAGGATATACTTCAGTTCCCAATCGGCTCCAAACGTTCCCACGAGGCTCCATGAACACCTTGCTCCCCCAAGGCACATATAAAGGTCAAAGTCAGTAGAAAAAAACTTCATCCTCCTACACTACAAACAAATAGATTTTTTTTTTTTTAGGATAGTATATACTCTATTGCTTTCATGTAACAGAACTGCCCCTCTCTTTCCTATGCCAGGATAGTGAAGGTGTTTACTAAGCAGTCAATTACACAACAGAGTTGTTGATTATGGTACAAGCCTATGGAAATAAAAAAATCCTGTTACTAAGTATATTCTCTTTCAGTTCACAAAAGAGCTTTACCAACATTAGTTTAAAAGCAAGCTTTCCTTCCAAGCGTATAGATGCTTCTACCAAGCTAGCAAAAATAAATTTATACATTTAAGCAACAACAACAAAAAACACTGACACATTTTCACCTAGCACTTCAAAATTTTTCTTTATGGGAAAATGTTCTTAACATGAATTTTTCTCAAATTTAAAAAATGAGAACGTCAAAGAAATCCTCAGAATGATCACGTATCCTGAAAGTGACTGCCCAATCAAGTGTGCATGATATGATGTTAATTCATTCCATATTTAGTGGAAGGTACTGAATTTCTTCCATGCCTTCTCTGACCAGTGGTTGGTCTGGTCTAGAAGATACAAAAGTATAGTCTTAAAATTTACCATCCTTTTTTTCCTGAAATACCAGGCAACATAGAAATACTGTTCCATGGGAAGTAAGTGAACAAAATATACCCTTTGAATAAGAAGCCTATTTCTTACGAAATAAGTCACCAAATTTTATACAGAAAAATAAGCACCTACTGAATCTGGCAATCCATATAGGAATTTGAGAGCATGTGAGTTTCCATGAGCCACACAGCTAGAACAGACCTTACTACAGCAAAATATCTGCAGTGTTTCAGTTGGCTTTAGATGCTCTAGATTCACTATAAGTTTGGAATGGCTTGTTTTGACTTTTTGTCTAAGAAATATTAACATAAAGAGTGGAGGTTTGGCTGTAGTTTCAGCCTTCTAAGTTGGCTGACCAAGTTACTATAAATCTTAAACCTCATCACTTAGATCTTGTTCTGCAAGGACAATTTCACTGCACTCATCAATAAAGTCACTTCAGTGGAGCCAACTACATATGACGTTTCCATCAGAGGCTTCACAAACTCATCTAGTTCTTTCATTTTAGTCTAGAAAAAAAAAAAACACTCAAATTCAGACAAGTATTCCTCCCTCTGGCTTTTTTGTCACAACATCCAAATACTTGATGTTTGCCCCCATCAAACCATGTCACTCTAAGAAACTCCTCCCAAGCAAACTTTCCATAAATGCAATCATCAAAGAACAAATAAATATGAAGAGGCATAAAGAAGCAGGGTTTTTTAGTGAAGTTCTAACAATCAAAGCGGGTGCCAAATTAAATCTAAAGCAAAGACAAATGCATAATAAAATTGCTCGATTACTGGTTTTTATCTTCTTCTCCTTGGCCTAACTAAAAGTCTCCAGATCCATGGTCTGTTTGAGAAGTAACGTACTTAAATCTAACCTGCTTTTCCACTTCACCCACATCATCAGTGTTTTATGACCAGCTTCAAGGTGTAGGCGGTGTATTTATACAAAATAATAAATTCAAATAGAAATGGTACATCAGGGAATTTCTTTCTTTTGATCACAAGTGCATTTCTTCGCAGTTTCTGGTTACTACCTATTTAGAAAGAAAGCGTAATATACAGTGGATTACGTGCTCCATGTTGTTTCCCTCATGAAGCTCACGCGTTTTTAATGCCAGGGTAAAGTCACAAAAAGAATCGGGAATATTCAATTGCTTCCAGTTTTCCTGGCAAATCAGTAGGAAAAGAGACTTCAGGCCCTCTCAAACAATACACTTCTCATCTTTAAAAGTTACCAGATATTCACAGGTTCTGGGGCATTTCTCATAAATGGGAAATTAAAGATGGCATAAAGCTCACCCAGAAATCTGTTACGGCATTGACCTGCTGAAACATGATATTTAAGAACTTTTGGGTTTAGTGGAAGAAGGCCCTTTCACCAAAATTTTATGCCACTGTCACTAATTTCAACTATTACTCACACACACATCCTGTGACAGATGAGATACGATAGATATCTAATAGGCATATAGTCTTTCTTTACTCTCA